CTGTACTGTTTTCAATGCTAGCGTTGAAGATAGTGGATTTAAAAAATGGGAACAAGAAGAGTGGATATTATGCGTTACTTCAGAGCGTTCCAATGGTCTACAACTCAAGTACGAAAACTGGTTTCTATATTCAACCGTGGTTGCTGTTAATATACGAGTAGAATTTGGACACTGCGGTGAAATTTAATTCCGTTCCAGTCGACTTATCAACTGTCACCCAGCGTAACTATTTTATAGTTTTCGGGCTCCCTCATGATGTGCAGCTAGATGACAGACTGTAGAGGAGGAATAAATACAAAATATTAGGTTGCAAGTGATTATTTCCAAGTGCTTTTGTTACAATTGGATCACCCCTCTTCCTGCAATAAGATGAGATGACTGAACTGGTTTAGTCGCTCCTCATACATGAGGTTGGAAAGGCTTTTAATCATCTGACGCAAGTATGAAATCTCCCTATCCTGGAGGAACTCTTAAATGGGCTTGATGTGACCACTTTTACGAAGTGTGCGGTAATTATGAAAAACTTTTAATTGTTAAAAAGATGTGTAACAAACTGACGATAATTTTTCGTCTAGTTCGGTAGTATGTGTTTGCAGTTGCTTATTATAAATACGATTATGCAGAATTTTGATGATAAGTTCAAAAAGTATTTTTCCTAATATGATAGTCTTGCATTATTTGACATTTCTTTGAGGTTCTTCATCTATCTGCACTTCTCAAAAAAAGTTATAAATAAGAGGCTCACGGTAGATTATGCTCCGGTATTAGGCTAAGCCGTAAAACTTAATCACAATCATTATAATCCCCTAGATTCTATTACTTCATCCTAACTACTTTCGCAGTACCCATCAATTAACAACGCTTTACGACCTGATTTTCAAGTTTTGTACTCTGAAATATGCAAATATATACTTAACATCCAACTTCTTAGCTCTGGTGCCTTGTTCTAATTCTCGAACTTTTGTTCGGGAATCCTCTGACAGGATATAAGCACTTTGAGCATGGGTTTTGATAAATAATATAGAGGCAATGTAAAGCTGCTTGAAAGCCCATTCAAATCTGTACCACAGCCCTCGTAGTTTAATGTTATGGAGTTACATAATTAAATATCTTTATCGTAAGAATTTAGAGTAAAAGCAGTAAAATCCACTTGGAAACCTGGATAATTTCTCAAGCATCACTAAACCCGACGTAGTTTTCCCCTAATTTTGCAATGGAAATAAAAAAGCGTTTCCGAGTAATGCACTGAAGGTCATTTAAGAATCGTTCGACTGGCAAATTCCATAGTTCCACCGACCATCCTAGTTTTCATACTCCAGACTCAACCTCACATGTTTGCCTCATATTTGAGGTATAAACTCCGTAAATTCTATACTGTAGATAAGGCCTTCATAATGTTTCATATAAAATCAGGAGCATATCGTTGTCAAGCTCTTTAAGGCATTTCTTAAAGACTACAAGATTCAGAAACCTTTGACATTCGCCCCCTACGGTTAGCCTCAGTTTGTACACTGTAACTCTTAACTTCTTACATTCAGAAACTTTAACCCAGGACATGGCATTAGTCGATCAACAGGATAGCAATTGTAGTGAAATTTGTTTCCGAAAAAGTTTGTTGACCAATTCACTACTGCGTTCAAATAGTTGTACGAAAAAAAAACTTGTTATAATTATCATTTGACTATCTGAGATAGCCGTAGTTTGGTGATTGAAGTGAAATAAAAATGTGGTCAGCAGTCGGGTGTCGTTACTCAGTTGGTAGAGCACCGGGCTGGTAACCCGGTGGTCGCTGGTTTGAATCCGGATGCGGTCCAGATTTTCATCCCACTTTCAATCATCACCCAGTATGAAAATTTGTTTCAACTCTAGATGACTCTTCAGTTTCATATCGTCTGCAATAATAAAGACAAAAACCTTAATCGTATTCAGTAGCTTGACTACGTATGATTGAACGGGATGTGAGCTTAACATGGTACCTTTTACGTCACTTCTCAGTAACCTCCAAGGTCACAAGACCCATAATACCCTCCCCTTCTGTCACCGGGGAGATTCGCAATCCAGATCTTACCCCAAATTCCAAAACTTTGCAACTTTATCATAAAACTAGTCAGCGACTATCGAAAGCCTTGTCAAAATCGACAAAAATAAAGTCATTCGATATATTAATATCTCTGGTTCCCGCCCAATCTTTTGCTGGGATGAAGTTTGACACATGAAAGTGACAAGTTTAGAAACCATTCCTTACTTTGACTGTATATCATTCGGTTTTGCGTGTCAGAATAGCGTGATTGACAGTCTTAAATTCTTGACAACTATACCAGTATAATTAACTAGACAATAGTCACCCACCAAATGCCTTTGAGTTAACGTCCATTTTTTTTTATTTCATGGCTAACATATCTTTCAGCAGCTGATTAAAGGTCAAAACTCAAACCATACCCCATATTAAAAGTAAGCTTGAATTTGATTGTAATCAGACAACTTATCAGTATATATTTGGTCGGTATAGAGTCGTCTACCCAATAGGAAATGCCAGAAGGAAGAATATTCCGAAGTGGAAAAGATTTGAGAAACCAGACCCTACCTCGTAAAATCGACCACATACCGTTTCACTGGCTAACACTTCCATTGACCTAGTATTTAGAAGCATCAGTGTTATCACCCTTGATTTGTTTTATAGAATATGCTGATGATGGCATCTTTCTAATCCTTTTGCGATCTCATTTACGTCAGTGACATTAAGCGCCATATTTCGGTAATGATGTCCACAATTGTAAGTAATAATGCAGCTCATCTAGTCCATGTGACTTAACAGGGTTGAGGTTTTAAATTAGTATTAGTCCCACCTCATCAAGGACTGGTTCTGTATACGGAATGCTTCGATTGGGTGCATTTTTATTCAGGGCATATCTGGCTAAAGCATTACGATACGTGTGAAATCGCTTTCGTTCCTACTAGTTCTTCTATTGACTAGCTATTAAACCTTAGATAAGCTTGTATGTTGCCCTAGCTCTCGTAATTAAGCTTTTGTATACTTTTGTATACGCATAGTAACTGGGTTCAAAGTAATCGAGACCTATGGGGATGAAATGGCTTCACTTTCTTTTACGGTGAAGTACCTTTTTTACTTGTCGATTTATCCATAGAAGAAAGTTATAGGTGGGAGTGGGGGTGACAAGACATGTTTATAGATTTTCTTGCAGGTTAGATAAATACCAAATAAATATAAAATATTTTATTCCTAATTTAAGTTTATGAGAGATAAGCTGTTTTAAATTTATAATAATTCATTTATTGGCGTGTTAAGAATCACATTGGAGTAGCGTGTAAACATAAGTGGATAAAATAAACTTTTAAAAATTGTTCTTAGTTTTGTACCAGATACCTTACTGAAGAACAGCTTTATGAAAGCAACTGTTTGACCATTGAAAGGGATGCAGTCGAGGATTTTAGTAAGTAGCAAGCAGCCAGGTGAAAAAAAATATGCATATAAAGATAAATTTGTAATGATACTGCAAGACAGCACAATTCACATGTAAAAATAATGATGATATAAAGGTATATGGGATAATTGACAGACGATTCTCTACACCATGCATTTTAACTTGTGCAAGAAGATTTGGTGAGAACCTTGTAATATCTGTTAATGTTAATTTATAAATTGTATGTGCATTGCGATATTGCCCGGACACCCAGGTCAAACATGTCTTTGTCTTAAGGGACCACTTCCAGAGTTTTTGACTTAAAGTCTGGTCCACATGGCAGTGAAGCAACGTGGGGCGCTGCATTCCCATGGTTGCCAGTTACCAAGGTAGGTTTACACACCGTTCCTCCGTTCTTGACGGTGGAGTCCGCATGCACCTCTGGTTTGGAATTGGGGTTTTTCAGTTCCCTTTAGATGTACTCTTCGTGTACACCGACTCGATTATCGCCCCGAACGTTCCTTTCACCCCTTCTCTGTTGTGGACATTGCCAGCCACGTAAAGGTTATCATCATCATCAATATCAACATAGGACCAGGCATTACTGCGTAACGGTCCGAGTTGCCACACCTCATATCACTACATCAAGTAAAAAGGCAGTGAGGTGAAAGATGAAGATAAGAAAGTCAAAAGAAATATAAAGTACGCGAAGAAAGAAAGGACAAAATGACAAAATGGTGAGAGTTGGTATAGTGTTAAGATGAGGATAATGTGTGTATACATCTGCGACACTAACATCGGTTCTGAGCCATATCACCTAGTCAGTCTCCAACCACTGGTTCCTCTTGTCCCACCGACCCCAACCACCTAGTCTGCATCGCCCTGCATGGCTCAAACCAACAGTCAGAGACTTGATACATTGGTGCCATGTTTTCGTCTGGCCACCTCGGGCCTTTTTCCAACCTGGACCTACTTTGGCCAACATTGTGTGACGAGGCAATCGGTAACTAGGTATACGTAGTACGTGTCCCAACCACCTCAGTCGATGAAGGTTCACAACCCCGTCAACTGATTTACCTCGTCTCCCTAAAACTCTATACCTGACTTCTGCATTACTCACGTGGTGACACCATGGAATAAGTCCTATACTACGAAGGCAATGATGGTCAAACACTTGAAGCCAGCCTTCTTATGTCTTCCACCTTCAATGGCCATGTTTCACAGCCATACAGTAAAACAGAGCGGACTGTTGTGCAGTGCACGCAACCCTCAATAGACAATCGGATATCACGGGGACACCGCAGGTGGTGTAAGTTAGCAAAAGCCAGCCGAGCCCTTTGTATTCATGCAGAGATTTCATCGGCCACTGATCCACCAGGACTGATCCTACTCCCCAGGTAAGTGAAGTGGTCAACACACTCAGTCACTACACTGTCTGTCGTTAGTCGCGGTCGGGCACCATTGAAGACCAATCCTGGAGCAACAATTTGCACTTGGGTGGTGAGAAACACATCCCAAATATTCTCAAATTGACACTCAAAGTGTTTAGAGGATTCTGAATCTTGTCAGCGTCTTCACCTAACAGGACTATATCACCTGCATATTCTAGGTCTAATGGAAATTCTCCTGCGATTGGATCAACATCTGTGTAATCAGATGATGAGAGGTAGACCTCCATAAGAATATCTATGACAAAATTGAATAAGAATGGAGACAGTGGGCACCCTTGACGGACAAAACTCGATGAGTACAGCTCACCTGACATCCCACTATGGACTCTAACACGCCCACAAGTGTTCGAGTAGAGAGCCTTCAATAAGGTGATGTACTTACTCGGCACGCCTTTCAGTGAGAAACATTGCCATAAGACTTCTCGATCAACGGAGTCGAATGCCGCCTTCAGGTCGAGAAATACAGAGAGTGTTAGGCGTCTGTAAGCGTGCCTATGTTTCACGACCTGGTACAGTGTGAATATTTGGTCGATACACCCGTGACTGGGTCTAAAGCCTGCTTGGTTTTCTCGGGCTTACTGTTCCCGAAAAATTATAGAACCTGGGATCTTGGAGACTATGTTCGTCAGGCTGATTCCTCTGTGGTTATCACAAGAGGACTTCTCACCTTTCTTGAAGACTGGAATAATCAGTGACTTAGACCAGTCGGAGGGGATCGTATTTGATTCCCATATACTGGTCAACACTTCCGTTAACCTGACTAAGAGCACTCCACCACCATTCTTGTATACCTCAGCAGGTAGTCCGTCTGGTCCTGCTGTCCTTCCTCGTTTCAGGTTACCTACAGCTTTCTCGACTTCTGCTGGTGTTGGTGGGCCTGTGTCAATGTTCCATTCAGGATCCGACTGGATAGCAGGCAACGTAATGGTGGTTGGAGGCCAGTTAAACTGCTCCTCGAAGTGTTCTACCCATCGTTCCAGTCGTCTCCCTCGTGAGTGAATTGCAGATCCGTCCTTCTCCGCTGTAGGCTCACTATCTGCTGTCACCTTTCCCCCAGTTTCCTAAATAAGTCTAAATAACTGCCTACTGTTACTAATCGCCGCTGCCTTTTCCATCTCTTTAGCCTTCGCTGCCCACCACTGTTCGTGGTCATTGCGTAAACTTTTTTCTCAATCTACTTTTTAGTTGCACTCGCTCTTTATTATACTCAGAGTTTGCAGGGATACGTTCACGTGCATCTATTAGTTCGGAAGCTGCTGATATCCACAGGCTTTTTTTAGCCGCTCTTTCGGTGTCGGCTATGGTCTTTAGCACTAAGTTTCTTCTGGATGAGTGATGGTGTTCTGTTCCGACAACTGCGTAGCCAACTTCTCACTAGAAGCTGCATTGTGTTTTCGTTGTCCAGCAGCACCGATAATATACCGATAAAATAAGAGGATGTAAAGCAGGCGATTCATAAAGCTTAGTCAGGATGCACTGACACATCTGGGCAACAAATTGTTCTCAAAACATCTAGTAAATATCAGTGTTCGCTATCAAATGAACAAGTCTAGTATGCAACAGGGTACAGTGTTGTGCCTGTTATCGTTGTTTGACACTTACCTAGATTTATTTGTTCTACGTCCAGCTCAGGATGATAAATACTGACCAAAAATTCATGAACTGCGTTAAAATCCGCGTTGGCTGCTATAGTTTTTGACAAAAAACACTTTGAAACTCATGAAAACTCGGTCACTTTCTAACTGGCTGCTGACAACCTCTTCCTCAACCGAAAATGTAAGACAAAACAACATCCAAGTGTTGTATTTATCGCTTTCTCAGCCGGGTATCATTTCAATTCCTGACGCCCCAGATTTGGCTTATAACTACGTACAAAGAATTGTATTTGCTTATCAATGCGAGTTTATGTATTTCCACTCAAGAGTGAGGATAATCATCAACGTTTTTCAGTAAACTTACTGAAGTGTTTTTAAGACTGTATGAACTAATACTTCCTCTATGTACTTTTCTTCTAGATATCTATTAATCCTATGCATACGTCTTGTGAAGTAATCTGTGCATAGCACACAGAGTACTGTGTCTGGTATCAGTATGGTTCTTATCATGATCACGATGATAAAAACTTACTATAGTAATAGTTCATATTCCGTGAGTGTTAGCTACAGGTGTTTTCTTTACTTCCTATTGATTTTTAAAAAAAATACTGAGCAGGTTATTAAATTTACCCAATTAGTAAATTCCTCCTTGTCGATTATTTGTTCTCTAATATGACTAAAGTATTTTTTCGTTCAAAAATCTTAGGTGCATCATTTTACTGCAATTATTTTTGTGTTGTAACTGTCTGTAGTCCATTTATATGGTCAACGTTAATGTCTGACAGTTTTCTTACGAATAAAAAAGCAACCAGCAATAAAGCTTTTCATTCTGATAAGTAAAGTATTGGCTCAACCGTAGAGGAATATAAGTGACTGTCGACTAGATTTTCTGACTGACCAACGTATTTAGTTATTATTATCTCTCTCTCTCTCTCTCTCTCTCTCTCTCTGAAATTTGTAGATGCATCCGACATAATTCAGAGTAACCTCATGAAAACTGATTATGATTATTAATGAATAATTACTAGCATAAAATAAGGGATGTTGCAGTACTGATCACTCATAATCATTTTCTTTTTTCGTAATCAAAATTATAGGATTGATGTTTACGTAACCGTTGTAAATGGCTTTCATGACCAGTATCATACCAGAACAAGCTGAAATTAAAGATCGTACAGATGAACTTCTAGCGTTGTGTAAAAAAGCAGTAGTATGTCTCAGTATCTGGTTATCCCACTTTTATAGACTGACTGTAATACTGTGAAACCAACGCTTGATTCCCTTGATAAATTACGTTGTAAACAACGCAGTTCGAAAGGTAGGCTAATTCATATGTCCACTATATATTACTAATAGCTGGTAGAAATCAGTTAAAGTCTCTATACAACCAAGCTATTAACGAAGCTGAACAACAAAAAGCGTGAGTTAATTCACTAATAATCATCTTTTGTGTTAAGTACTCTAATAGCTGCTCTAGAAAAAGTATCAGAGATCCGTGCTTTGGAATATAAAATTAGTAAGTGGGGAATTTGGTAGTAATATGTCTGTTTCAGGAACACATGTTGGTCCTAAAAGCTTTCGTAGAGGCGTATTAATGTCAGTTTTACAAGAAAATGCCAAATCCATACCACTTTGGATTGGTAAAGTCGGTGAAAGGTTGGTATGATATGGATTCATGACTTGAGTTTAGTCCTCCTGCTTTATGTGGTGCAATAGGACCATCACCAAATATCTCTGCTGATCCTGGGGATCATGTTGCTGCTCTTGTTCCGGAACCAGATGTTGCAGCTGCTGCTTGTAATCTAGCTGAAGGTTGTATTTTAGCCGAAGTTGTTTCTTATAATCCTGACAAGGCAGTCTATGAAGTCGAAGATGTTGATGCTGAAGAAGGAAAGATGTAAGCTAAAGGAAGAAATGTTTCATTTATATTTATGATGGATTTTGTGTAATAAGAATTTCGCAAACAGTTTAGATACCTTGGTGGGTTACGTGATACTATATATATGGTAAATAGCTGTTTGTCTCCAGTTTTTCAATGGAAATGTGAACACAATATCTTTAGCAGCCACTTTAACATTAAGCTGGCTGAGTTGCTAAGTAAGTTGCATCAAACAGGCTTAATTATTCATTTTATTGCACTAACTGACGAATACCTGCTTATTCGGGAGCATGCTATTCATTCTGAACTTGTTTTTTAGTCCCACTTTCATTTTACTGACTTCTTTTCATTTCTCGATTTTTGAAGTTTTACAAATTGTGCTTTTCTATCTGCTGTTATCAAACAACTCTTGCGAATGGTTACTGTTCTGTAATTATTTGTGATTGATGTGCTGGTAGATGTGAAAAAGCAGTCTATATGGTGTATAATAATTGATACAAAGCATTTAAACACTATATCATTGTAACATATGATTGTTTCTTCATCACTCTTTACTACTACAGATAGTGAAAGTGCTTTAGCGTTCACTTCGACTGTATAAAAATGAGTTGAGCATTTCATCCACCGTTAGAAACAGATTATTAATGTCTATCTTAGTATCACGTCTTGTATTCATTTATCCTTTGCATGCTGCTGTGAAGTGTGGCAACCTAAACAGATGCAATTCTGTGTTGTTTCTTTCTTTCTGTCTGTCTGAAAACTATGCTAGTTGGCTGATATTCACCTGTAAAACTGAAAACCGACTATACTTCCAATAGTTTGGCTACCGAATAATTGTGTTTTTCTCTCTCCAATTACTTTATAATGTACAATATTTTTGTTTAGACAACCAAGTGTTAGTGTAGCGGTCTTGGTATGAGTAAATGTGTATTAGATTGGTGTGCGTTATGACTTCATCTAATATTTTTTATCTGGGTATCACCTCTGGTTGTAGGCTGTTTAGTTGCTTTGAACAATGGGAAATGTTTGGTATCCTACACTTCTGGTGACTTCTTACAGTTACTTTAGAATATTTTCGCTCGTCAAAATGCTTACTGTTGAAGGCAAAGTCTCTCTGACCTTCTGGATATCATTCTTCGGTAATTTTTGGGAACTCAAAATCTCAGATTTATACCAAATCAGTCATTCAACTTAAATTGGAATCTGTTTTTATATCCGGGAATAAGTATAAGGCTCATACAATGCGTAAGTTATTGATGTAACTGCGCATTAGTAACATATTCAATAGTTTTCCCCTGGTCTTCTTTGATTGTCTGTTTCTTGTCTTCTGGATATATGCGGCTCCCTGATTGGTTGATGTAACGAATCGACCGTGAGGAGTATAAACGTCTTTACTTTTATCTATTTTCAACCTGAGTTTACGTCTTTTACTGTTACACGACTTCGGATTTGAGTTTGAAATTTATATTGGTTATCAATAAATGTAGAACCACTTGTTACTACAAGATAGTCTTTTAATTTTCGGGTGCTGATATTCAAGTTAAGCTAGCGGGACTAAAAGTTGCTTTATTTGTTACATATTTGTTCAGATTTTCTTTCTGGACTGAGTTGTTACACATTGATATTTTGAGAAGTTCAATGATATCGAAAATAGACTGAGTTCGTTAACAGTACTCATTGTTCTCAAATACATAAACAAAGTACTTCAAAAGCATTAAGGTAAAATTATCACTAAATGATAGTTTTTGCCTGATTTTATAGGTCCAGATCGGTGTTTCACCGAAGATTTCTGGATGACTGTATGTCTAAGAGTATTTGACACTAAGTTTCTCGTATCCTTTTAGGGTGAAAATGTTATCTTGTTGATGAAACAGTACACTGGTTGGTTGGACTAATACTTTGCTCATCGAATTTCCATTGTTCCATAAAGCTGGTTCGACTGAATATCGATGGTACAAACTGTCAATCAGTTGACTACATTTGGATGTTTCATAAGAACTCATCCAGTTAACAACTACATAGAGCCTGGAATTACCAAAATTTGTAAAAATAAAACAAGAGGGACTAAAACAATAATGCGATTTGACATGATAATTAAGATAAAGATCATGTGTGGATGCACCTGCGTCATTGAAATTAATTTTCGACCATACCGTATAGAGTCTCCAACTATCGATTTCGGTTGTTATACGAACCCCAACCGGGATGTTTATATTTCACTACAGTCCTCGTTAATGGAATAGATATTGATATATTTACAAAAGGATAGATAGATAGATTAACATAGAGCCTACAGAAAAAAGGGTTGAGTACAGTCTTCCACACTTCATAGCAGTATGCACACAAGAAGTAGATAGTAAAAGGGATATTAAAGTACACGACAGTGCATGAGAGGAAAGAGTATAGGTAGATAAAGGTTGATACTGACTGGATAATAACTGAACTATTTATCAAATAGGCAATAGTAGTAAAGTTAGTAAGCAATGAATCAATTCTTACCAATGGCTATAAATCACAGATAATATCACATTTCGTCTAAATTTTTGTTCTCATATAATTGCATCATTATGCATCGGTATACCTTTGTAATAATGATGTAAGAAATCAAGATATATTGGTTCACTTTTCATGATTTCCAGGCCCAAGTGAGTATTTTATTTTCTTTTAACTGTCAATGTTGAAATTATTATTTATCTGTTTATTATCTTGTCAATGAAGCGATGATCTTTTCATTTCGCACAAATATCTATCCGATTTCCTTAGTTTGCCTGTCATTATTATCATCGTTGTGTTAGTCAAATCATTGCTGTTCATCAAATTCTTCAATTATTGAATTAAGAGTTGGGAAACAGTCACAAGCGATATGCATGCCTCTTTGTCCATCAAGTTATACTATAGCTTGAAAAATAAAACATTTAACACATGGTGTAATTGACGATCATGTTGATTATGTTTATTACTTCATCATTTGAGTATATGAATGCCTCATATATCATCTTACATGAACTAACGTCATGTTGTATTCTTTCTGTCTATCTTGTACACGCATTATGCGCTAACAAACACCTATAACAGTGTTTGTTGTTGAAAGAATATATATATTTTCCACTTTTTTTTGTTTACGTGGGTGTTTTTTATCCATACATTCCGGCACTAAAATCCTTATCTACATGTGCACATGTATGTCTATTAATATACATTTCCTTTATCTAGGCGTTATTCATTACATCGTTCCAAAGTGATACCTTTGCCTAAATGGAAGGTAAATCCAGTCACACATCCTGAAGCAATATTCAAGAAGGGTGTTGTAAGTCAATTGTGTTACTGTGGTAGCTTTTTTGTTCCTTCGGTTTTTATATATGAAAAATTTATGTGGCTTACACTGCGGTGGGATGCCAGTTAATTGAACTACACGAATTTTCAATAAGCCAAAATACAGAGCTATTTTGGAAATGGTTCAAAGGAGAAATCACTTAAAGACAACCAATCTAGTAGTTTTGTTATTTATTGACACTTGTAGTCTTGTTGTGTTAGAGATGTCTGGTAACTAACTTGTGTATAAATTTTCATTGTGAAATTTAAACCTTATTTTCCCTCCATGCAATGTTACTTATTTTTACAGAGGCTTGAGATACTAAACTCTGATTGGCTCATTTTACACTTTTAATATGCTATTTTATTTTCTCTGGTCAAGGCCCTTAAAAGAGTATATATAAGCAACAGGACTTTCAGCTACAATCGCATTATTCAATCCTGTTGTCTTCTTCTTCTGGTTCTAGCTGAGCATCGTGTTGAGAAGTCATTGTTCTGTCATGAATCGTATCGTGTTTGAGCCCTATATCGTTCATGTTTATACCACAGACCAAAATATGTTGATTATTATACTGGACCGAATCTATCTATCTTAGTGTTTTGGTTCTTATGCGGAGGTCTTATTATTGCTGGAAGATTCACCATAATGTAATCAGCTTGGTGGCGTCTAGCAGTTAGGTTTGGAATGCTCATTTCGTCTTGAGATTCGTCAGCTCGGTGTACCTCGATCCCAATGAGTGTTGGCCTTCATACTGGGACTTGAACTCAGAACCCATCGCTTCAAACGCCAGAGCGTTGTCCAATAGACCATTGAGTCACTTGTAGTCTGGATTCCAATGCTATCCGCCGCCAAGCGAATTACTTTAGTAGCTTTGTGTCAACTATAAAACTTAATCATTAAGTCAAAAGCAAAACATCACAAGGTTGAAACTAAACAGTATATACAATCTGGAGGTTTTGAAGTTTTCATCGTGGATCGATATCAACCAAGGAACAATTAGAAAACCTGGGAGCATAGGCTAGCTGTTTCGTTCCACTTCGGAACTCATTAACAGCGCGCACCCACAACCCTTTTTGAGATCGAACTCAGGAACACGAAGTTACACCAAGAGCATGTTGCCACTTACTTACTAGTTTGGACTCCAATGACACGTTTTCCAACTTATGCCAATTCGGGATTTCACATGAGCATCATCTAATCCCATCGGTATTTATTCTCACTGGAGTTTCCGGAAGTTCATTTTGAACCAAGTCATCAGCGAACATTGGAGTGTTATTCAATGTAGAGGTTTGTGAGTTTTATTCAGCCCATGGAAATGGTCAGTTGATAAATGTAATTTCATGCCTGAAGATAATAAATTCGCCTCACATCTCTCTTACATATGGGTTGTAAAATTTAACCAGGCTTAGGTGGACCGAGTTACAGAACGTCTATAGAGTATAACAACCGAGCAAGATAGAAGCCAACAAAATCTGATATTATAAAAAGTGCAGTGTCAACATTTGCAGATGTATTTACTTCTTTCCTACTCCAAGTATGTGTAACTTTTCAAAGCTATAAATAATCAAAATTTTAGGTTATGAAACCTGTTTTTTTATTATTCGAGCGAGAGTCGAGAAATACTTATGCTCTAACTGAGAAAGAAAGTCATTCAGTTAATAGGAAAAAGCAAATATACAGTGATGTATGATTCTTAACCGCTGCATCGCTGAATAAAATTCAAGTTTATGCAATTTGGTTCAGGTAGTCGGACGGTATTACACTTTCTTACCTGATAGGCCAAAAGCAGCCTATTACACCAATTTCAAATCATATCTATTAACTTCACACTCTGTCGAAGATTGATATATTTCAACCTTTTTTGACAATTTATGTATCTTTGTCCCACCAGAAAATGTAGGAACTCTGCTTGCAACTAACATTTTCACCACTATTATAACGACTAAAGAAGGGAAAATATAAACTTCAAATAAAATTTATTGCATTATGTTTGTTACTTGTGTTCAAAGATCTATTTTTTTTAGTACCACTACACATTGAAGGCTGAAAGGTTTGTAACGACTTCTAATTTATTTCTATACGAATTATGGTTCCTAAATAATTTGGTCATTTGAGGAAATCGATCACCCACAATGCATGATTGCTCTCTGGATATAGTTTGACTTATTTAGTTTTTGCGACTTATTGGATGTTGTAGGCATATAATTTATGTTAAACAGACAGACAGAATCAATGTAAAACCGCGCACAAAAGTGCATCGATTCACTTTGCTACAATTAACAGTAGCTAAAAGAGAACAAGTGGATAATATTAGTATATTAGTATCAAAGTAAACAAAAATGTATCGGAGGATTTTAAAAATAAAGGTTAGTAAAACAAATTCAAACTTTGGAAGACATCACACAGTAAATACATCTGTCCCACTGCAACTGATTTTCAGCCATTCAACAAAGGCTCTACAACCACTGATCTCTATGATTAAGGCGGCCCCAACCAGGCAGTCTACATCTCCTTATATGGCTCACACCAGTAGAGAGAAAGAGAGATTTCATGGACTAATGCTACGCCTTAGTCTGGTAACCCTGAGGCTTTTTCCGACCTAATCGTATTTCGAATAACATTGCACATCGAGGTAGGCAGTGGTTGGGCAGGCGGAACACATGTCCAAGCCATCTTAGTCATTGAGGGCTCAGAACCCCATCCAGCGACTTTCCTTCTTTGCTTAACACCCCTCATCTATCCTCGATATTTCTCAGGGTAATTCCACTAAATATGAGCAGCGCTATGAAGAAAATTGTGGTCTCTGCATATTTTCTACTTTTAAGGGCTATGTCTCACAGCCGTACAACAGGACAGAATGGACTGTAGCACAGTGTACTCGTCCTTTAACAAGTAGTCAGGTATCCCACCAGTCCCCGCCAAAGAAGATGCAAGTTGGGAAATGTCAAACAAGTCTTTTCTATCCGAGCTGAGATTTCGTCACCAACTAGCCCGTCCAGGCTGATACAAATCCTCTAATAAGTAAAATGCTTCACACGTTCTACCACTTCATTGCCTAACCTTTGACTGGGAGCACTTCCAGATAAATCCTAAAGCATCACCTTACATTAGATAGGTGCAAGATGCATGCCAAACATACTCGAATTTCTGCTCATTGCGTTCAGAAAACCCAGCATTTGGCAGCGTCTTCATCTAGCATGAATATATCGCTTGGGTACTTCAAATCAACCAGAAGACCTCCGGCGACTAGATCAATTGCTGTAAAGTCAGACACACCTAAGGTTATGTCCATTAGTGCGTGCATGACGAAGTTTAATAGAAATGGTGACAGTGGGAATCCAAGGCGAACACCACTAGTTTTCGTCACTTCAGATGACAACTGCCCATTACCCCTCACATAACTGCGTGGGTTCGATTAGAGATACATACTTGCTCGGTACTCGTTTCACAGTCAGACACTACTATAACACCTCACAGTCGATAGAGTCGAATGCCGCCTTCAGGTCGAGAAATATAGCAGTTGTCGATATGTTTGTGCCAGAACCTGACGAAGCTTGAAGATTTGATCGATGCTTCCTCGTCCAGGTCTGAAATCTGTCTGATTTTCTCGAGTTTAATGTTCTTGAGCTCCAGTTAAGTATGAACACCATATTAACTAAACAGATTCCCCTATGTTTTTGCTCGAGTCCTAGTGGAAGCAACATCGCTCACTGGGAGGCAGGTACGTCCAGCTGACGAGTCCCAAATAGGACGAAACGCGCGGATCCCATTGATAGCCATTGTCCATCATTAATATAAGGTTTCCCTATGGTTGTCACAAGAAGACTTCTCTCCCTTCTTATGGAGTGAAATGATCAATGAAGTAGACCGGTCTGACAGGACTAATTCTGATTCCCATAAACTACCTAGTACCTCCGTCACTCTTATCAGCAATTTCCTAATTCCATCCTGGAAAACTATCAGGTGTTGCTGCTTTTAATCGTTTTACGTTTGACACGGCCTTCCCAAAACTTTGACGAGAGTTGGAGGACCGAAATCTACGTCCTATTCAGTTTCAGGATGGATGTTGGGCTACTGAAGCGTTGCCTTGGGCCTGTTGAACTGTGCTTCAAAGTATTCTGCCTATCCTGGGAAGTAATCAACGTCCCATCCCTTTAAGTGATAGTTTCACTAACCATCATTTCCTTCCTATATATATCCTTAGTAAGCCTAAAATAGTTGACGGCGTTACCTATCGCTGATGCCTTCCCCATCTCTCTCTTTCTCTCGCTCGCTTTCACCACCCACCACTCCTCGCGACTGTTGCGAAGACTTGATCAATTTACGTTCGACTTGCTATCGTCTTTCATCGTGGTCAGAGCCAGCCAACTGGGATCAGTCTTCTCGTATCAGTTAGTTCTGATGACGTTGCGGAAATCCAAGTGGGTTTGCTAACCTTCGGGTTTGGATTACCAACTGTCTTTGCCGCACACAAGGTTTCCTCAGGTTGAGCGTTGCTGTCACGTTCAGACAGATGCCTAGATACCTCCTCCCTAAATGCGTACTTGGCGTCCTCATCTGCAAATCAACTACAGACAGGCTTTACCGTCGCCTGTTTCGTGCGACCTGTAAACTGCAGACACAAATGAGCCCGTACTGGTGCGTGATCAGAGTTCAAAGAGCTATTGCAGAAAGAGCGTCAATCCTCTTCATCATCATCGAAATCAATATGAGACCAAGCACTACTGCGTAACGGTCCGAGTTGCCACATCTCATATCAACACATCAAGTAACAAGGCAATAAAATGGAAGATGAAGAAGAAAAGAAAAATTGGTCAAAGGAAGTAGAAAGTAGTAAAATAGAGGAAGGAAGAATGAGATGATGAGATCAAGTATAGCGGTTGAGATGAGGATAATGTGTGTATACATCTGCGCCACTGATATCCGTTCTCAACCAAAGCACCTAGAGTCTCCAACCACTAATTTCTCTTGTCCCACGGACCCCAACTGGCTAGTCTGCATCACCCCACATCGCTCAAACGAGCAGTCAATAGTCAGACTTTCGTACATTGGTGCCATGCTTTATTCTCGCCGCCCAGAGCCTTTTCCCAACCTGAACCTACTTTGGTCAACACTGTGCGACGAGACAGACGGTGGCTAGGCATACGTAACACGTCCCAGCTAGCCATCTCAGTCGATGAAGGTTCACAACCGTATCAACTGACTTACCCCTCCTCCCTAAAACTTTACGCCTGACTTCTGTGCTACTCACTTGGTGACACCAGAAAACATGACCTATGCTACGAAGACAACGGTGGTTAAACACCTGGAACCTTCTCATATCTTCCAGTTTTAATGGCCATGATTCAGAGCCATACAGTAAAAGAGAGAGGACTCAAGCACAGTGGACTTGACCCTTAATAGACAGTCGATTATCGCGGTGGCGCCGGGGATGGCGTTAGTTGGCAAACGCCAATTGAGCCTTTAGTATCCGTGAGCAGATTTCTTCGGCCACTGAGCCGCCAGGGCTGTTCCGACTTCATAGGCGAGTGAAGTGTTCAACGTACTCAACTACTTCACTCTCTGTTGTTAGGCAGGGGTCCGTTGAGGATCAGTCATGAAGCATCAATTTCCATTTGGGTAGTAAGAAACGCATCTCAAACGTTCTCAAATTACCACTTTAGATGTCCAGAAGACTCTGCATCTTCACCAAACAGAACTATGTCATCTGCGTATTCTAGGTCTAGCGAAAATTCTCATGTGATTAGGTCAATCCATGTGTAGTCAGATGATGAGAGGGAGACCTCCATAAGAAAGTCTATGATAAAATTGAATAATGACGGAGAAGGTTGCCATCCTTGATGAACACGACTCGATGTACACAGCTCACCCGACATCTCACCATAGGTTCTAACACATCCACTGATTTTCGAGTAAAGAGCTTTTTCAACGATGGTTGCTAGCAATATATCTGTGTCCATCTTCAGTTTTATGTCAGAGGACGCTATGTGGGACAGTCTCTCTCCTTATCCCTAAAGTTAGTGCTTGTCAGAAACAAGTAATTGTCGAAACAAATTGCAGCAGACAATCATTGTTGTTGGTTCGTTGGCATGGGATTCTGTAAATACCCTCAAACGTGTCTTTCCGATTGACTCAGTGATACAGTATAATTTACCAAATATATATCAAGTAAATAATACTGTTCACTACGTGTTATAAATCAAATCAACAAATCTAATATGGAATTACACTCCACCACAGCGCCCAAGTTTCGTCACGCCAGGTTTCCTCAGGATGAGCATTGCTGTCACTTTCAAATAAGTCTTTAGCCATGTCTTCCGTAAATACTCACTCGATGTTTTCATCTTTCAATCAAGTACACACAAGCTTCACTGTTTTCTGTGACCAGTTAGGTGCAAACATACACCAGCCCATACTAACACGTGATCAGTACTCCAGAAAGAGCGGCAATGCTCCAACGATGGCTTATAGCAATGTGATTTATCTTTGTCCATCGTTGTTTTGACGTCGGCGGACGCCATGTGAGACAGTGTCCTTCCTTATGCCTAAAATTAGTGCTGGCCAAAAATAAGTGATTTTCGGAACAAAATTGCCGTAGACGATCATTGTTGTTGGTTCGTTGGCATGGGATTCCGTAAATGCCTTCAGATGCCTCTCCGATTGTCTCAACTTCCTTACTTGAGCATTAAATTCACCTGCCATTATGACTACATATGATCGTTTTGCATTCTGTAGAAAAGTTGACAGCTTCTGATAGAATTCACCCTTCGCATCATCCGAATTGCGGTCGGAGTTTACGAATAAACATCACATAGTCTCACGATCCTTCCTAGTTCCTAAAGGTCCATTCAGTCGAACAGCACATAGACGACTGTTTAATCCAGTCTAGTAGTATGCTTTCTGCCCTACAACCTAATGCTATACCTACACCAGCTCGTCCTCAAGAGCTAGTCATTGAGCCTTTGGGTACTGGTAAAGTGAATGTTGAAGATCCACCGCTATGCCTAAGTGAATAACTACATTCGGGTCATGAATGTCTCAGAAACAGAGTACATCCATGGCTCCAGGTTCTGAAGTTCAGATAAGAGATGCCTACTGTTCGATTTGACATAAGGTCTGGATGTCGGAAGTTCCAAATGGGAACTGACAGCGGGGTTTTAGAAGACTAGGAACGGATCATTGACAATAGTCGCAGAGTGAGAGGAAGAACACTTCTTGAGAGAAGCGGTTTCTATGAAGTCACGAAACGTCAGAAATTTATTTTTCTGCCCCATTAGGATTTTAAAAGTAAATTTCATCGATAATCCATTTGACCAATCCTCAACTTTTTCAACTCAGTTCAAATTTTGATCCTGAAATTTATATAATTAATTCTTTTTTTTCTTAGACGGTATTAGCCCTTTACCCGCAGACTACATGTTTCTATAAAGCAATTGTAGACGAAATCCCGACTCATGTAAGTTGTTCAGTGTTTTCTCTGATATTTTACTTGTTATCAAGAGAAAGTTTGGATATATGGAGGAGAATAGCCATCTGAACAATTAGTTTGTCCAAAGTTAACAATTAGAATATTAGATAAGTAAAATGTGTTATATTAACTACGGAAGTGAAATCAATATACTTACACATACTTGTCATATATATCGCAAGAAATTCGTCCACTAATTCCTTGAACTAATCGAATCTCATCAACCAGCATATAATTCAACCCGATTGATCAGTCTGTTGTCAGTTTAGTGTAGTGAAGTAGATGCGCACTTGATTAGTCCATAAAACGTGAACATTGCTATTAAACTTAAGATTTATTAAATTTCTATTCCCAAAACGTTATTTTCCAAATTCTTATTTATTTCTAAAAGATATCTTGAAGTTTAACTAAAATACGCGTACCAGGCGATGCTGAAGACGTGGATGAGAAAACTGATTTCAATCCTTGATGAATGCAACTCTAACATGTAACAGGCGCTTAAAGTCATCACTTAAACGACGTTGATTTTCTGAAGTAGACAAAATAAGTGGGTTAATAAGGTGTACCAGAGTGTTATAAGGTTTGAAATTTGTTAAGAAATTCCAGATCTCTGGGAGTTTTGCTAGCTACAAACCAAACATCCTGCCACAGTCAGATAAATTCATGCTAAACAGATCTCGCATATACACGAATCAACTAGTATTTTCGAACACTGTGAGTATTGGGTATGGGGTGTTGTGATTAATAAGCAATTCATCAGCTCCACTTCACCTGAAATTTTGAACATCTCCCTACTCCACTTATATTTCTGTAGCATCCAAACTCCTCGGTATATTCGAGTTACTCCTTTTGTAAATCACAGACTGTCTGAGGATACGTTGTGTCAATAGAGCTTCATACTTTTTTTTAGCTGATCTACACTCTTACTCAAAAGTGATGATCAACATTAATCATTGGCTGGAATATTTTGCGAAGAAAGAATATACGAGATCTAAAAGTTGATCATTTCTTATTGTAGATAGAAGCAAGTGTAAAAAACAATTTTGATGAGGAGAGCTATCTGAGTGCACACGATGGTCAACTTTGACGTACACTATGAAAACCGTAATCAGTATCATTCCTGATGTTAAAGAAACCTGTCAGGATTTATACCCAGCTATCTGATCGGTATCTTGAATCGCTAAAGTGTGTAAACATAGTCTTTTCTTCATATTTAATTCAATAAACCATAAACATATGATGTTTCATAGCGGCGGGAAGGTAAGTCTATTCTTAAAACAGCCCAATAACTAGGCCTTCAATAAGATATACATTTATTATCATCAGGCATAGAATCGCTTTCTTTGTTATGTACCTCAGCGTGCGTCGCACGCTGAGGTACTTCATTCTTGAGTTTGGACCCTCCTCTACGCCTTGCCAAGGTCAGATAGTACTACTTTTTCTAGTGCATGGACCCGTATACAGCCGTTAATTTGATTTTTTTCGTAACGTGTGGTTTCGTTTTTTCCATCACAGGTACACGACGAATACTCCCTTTATTTTGAGGACTCATCGTACCCGGAAGGTTATGCCCCAGCCATCAAAATACCTCAGAGATATGTTATTGAATGTCCTTCAAATGAATCAATGACAAGTAAACATCTAGACAGTTCAAAAAAGCGCAGTAAATAGACACAACCGTAGTGTCCCACAATTACCTATTGATGTGTAAATATAAATAAATATTTCTTTTGTTCTTTCTTCATTTTATATGAATGTAATTGGGGATTCGAAAAGTGCAAATATAAAATTTTTAGACATCAACCTGCGAACGTTAGAGATATTGTTAAACCAAACTTTCAGATTCTGTTAATGTAGGGGAGAGTATAATCGGCCAGTAGGGTATTTACTTATTTGTATAGAGTTCATTATTTGAAAAAGTAATCCAGCAATCTACTATAAAGCTGTTAGATGTAGCTACTTAAGACAAACCCTGAGCGACAACACAGGTTTCTAGTGACAACTGAATTCTTCTTTATAGAAGAATTCAGTTGTCTTTCTCAATAGATCGCTCGTTCATGAGCACTGTCCCATTGAAGTGAAACTTCAGATTATGAAACTGGTCCGACTACTAATCTGTGTGGATAAGTTCCAACGAACCGTATTACTCAGTAGTACAATCTAGCATCTCTGCTTTATTTTAAAGTATCAACTGATCATTGCCAATGTTAAACTATACGACTTCAGCATTATCAGAATCTGTCTTTTCGATAAGCCTAACTTAAATCGTCAATCATGAATAATCGCATATCAGTAGTTTCAACTAGTGTAGCAAGTATCAGAAAAGTATATGAAACCGATAGGGTTACAAATTCTCATTGACACGTTGAATTTAAAACATGCACCCACGAAAAGTTTTATTGAGGCCAGGAGAAATCACTGCAGTCCAAGAGAAACTCAGTGTTTAATGCGCAGACTCAGCATATTGATACGAATATGAAGTTAAAATATCGCCACATGTTTCCTGCAAACACCAAAACATGACAAGCAGGAATTATTAGCTATCAATAAAAATTTATCGCAAGTGATTAGAACTTTACACGGCCTTTTATATCAAATAGCTGATACATTGAAGTGGTTGTTGGTCTTGCATATCACAACGAGCTATGCTGGTGGGACGCTTGTTTCCTCAAAGTGCTACTATGTCAAAAAGGTAATTGGGATATTGGTCAGGTGAAATTCAGTTGAGTACAATGTGGAATGTGCCGACCACTTTATTTACTCAGGGAGTTGCGTCAGTCAGCCAAACGAGCTAGTTGCTGACTGAGTTTCAACATGGATACAGAAGGACCTTTTGGCACCTACCAACTTACCTCACCTCTGGCATCAGCGACAAATCAGGCTATTTATCAAAGGACGAGTAGGCTGTGCTCTAGTCTGTTATGTCTGTAAGACATGACCATTAAAAGTAGGAAACATGAAACAACTACAGGGTTTTGATCACAGATGTCTTCGTAGCATTGCTCTTATTTGGTGGAATCAGGATGTGAACACTGTTGTGGTTAGATGAAGGATACTAGGCAAGACGGACAAGTCGATTCACAAGGTTGTGAACCTCAGTCGACCGAGATGGCTGGGAAATGAACTGCACATGCCGAGCCACCGCCTACCTTGATGTGTCATGCTAGGGGAAGTTGGGCTATTTTGGAATAGGGTTCATGGTGGCTAAACCAAGACGTGGTACCGGTTGATGAAGTCCCTGACTGTTAGTCTGAGTCATGTATGGAGATGTAGAGTGCATGGTTGAAGTCCTCGAGAGGAAGGAAATCAGTGGTTTAGGACAATGAGTGACATGGCTGAAAGTCGGTCACAATGGCGCAAATGTATTCACTCCTTGACATACCTCCTAAAGCTTGAATATTCGCACTAACCTTTATCTTCAGATTGTTTATTCTCTTACACAGATTTTTCTACTTTGATATCACTCCTTTTCTATCCACCTATTCTTTGTGAAATACTGTGAAGCATGGAAACTTGAGGCGATGGGCCTGTGTGTAAGATTTTACGTTCACTTTGTTAATCAGTCATATCAAATGAACCTATTTAATGTGGGATGGAACTTCGATAATGCTTCTACCTCTATCAGAATGACTGCAAACAAAATAGAAAATGATGTGAATTCTCTAATCAAAATCGATAGAACCAGCACTAGTTTTTGTGAATCTATTTAAGATCCTCATGTTAATTCTCTGGTAATGTGAGTGAATGAATGAGAATATATTTTTGATACAAATAGGCATGACATTCTGTTTTCTAGACAAGTAACAACTTAAGTGACATGAGTAACGTTCAGTCACTTCTTTTAGATTCTCTGCTAAAATGCAAACGAAACACTACTACGATATTTAAAAGTTGGTGAAACATATTGATAAAGAAATGTTGACATGATTTTGCGAAGTGAGGGTCGCGAACATTGAGTGTACTAGGGACTGATTAACTGTCATATCAGACAGAACTATAAATGTCTAGAAATATGCTCATCATCAGCTTACGTCACAAATGGTGATCGATCTTAAAGGGAAATGCAAAGTAACAACAATGTGCACGCTCGTACAACAAGCACTGAGCTACACTTGTTGTACGAAGACTAATGATACTATCTGACTATTTAAACCATGACAGGTGGAGCGGGGTCAAGCATTATTGTACAACTGTTCAAGTTCTAACACCTCATATCAGCAAAAATCAGAGAGTAGTCAAAAGTGGTATAAGAACATCAAAAGAGAGTGAGGAGAAATGAGAAGATACTGAAATTTAGTACGACGATTAAGATAATATATTGATACATCGGTGCCTTGGGATCGGTTCTGAACCATATCACCTAGATTCTCCACTCATTTATTTTTCTTGTCTATCGGACTCTTAACAGGATGTCTGCATATTCCTACCCGGCTCAGACCATGGGAAAAAGTCATGTTTAAGTCTGGTACCCATGGGTGTTTCAAAGCCACATAGAAGAACAGCAGCACAGTACACTCAACACTTAGTAGACAATCAGGTATCACGCAGGTGCTATTGATAGCGTAATTCGGCGAAATTCAATCGAACGTTTTGTATTCGTGCACAGATTCCGTCGGCCCCTGACCCAGCAGGGCTGATCTGACTTCTTACGTAAGTGAAGTGATCAACACGCCCAATCACTTCACCTCCTTTAGTAACACAAAGCACCAGCGAAGACCAGTCCTAGACCAAGAATTTGCATTTGAAGCATTCTTCAATTCCCTTTTTAAGGTGTGCAGTAGACTGCAACTTCAACTATCAGCATTACGTCTTGATGTGCTGAGGGTTCTCTTGTTACAAGACCAATACATATAGAGTCGGGCGACGAGAGGGAGACCTACATAAATACGTCTTTCATACGATTAAATAAGAATCGAAAGAGTGAATACCACTGGACGTGAACAATGAACCGTAGGTTATGGCACGGCCACGGATGTTCCAGTACAGAGCCTTCACGAGGTCCATTAGTTGAAAGTCGAAATGCTAGACCATTGAGCCTACGTCATATATTGTGTGAAACATACCCATGTGATTTGATCACCAAAGAGGATTCTTAAGGTAACTTTTCATTTTAAATATACAGTTATATAATAGTTTACAGAAGACATGAAAACTACCGCGAAGTGCCATAGGTTAATGTCAGTCAACAAAACGTATTGAACTGTAAGTCGGAAGATAAAATAGTATAATGTAGGTAGAAAGTCAGTCCTACCAAACAAAATATGTACATATATCAACAATGGATGGAGCTCACAAGTGCTTGTTCTTACTAATGGAGTGCTGTGGAAAATGATTATACGAAAGGAAACACGAAAGATTCCGATCAATAAAGCGAGTCTAGAGCTACGAGAATGAATGCACAATAAAGAGAAAACTATTGAGTAGAAGTCGAAGGGTTAAAATCTTTTTAGTACTGGCGATGAAAAAATTGAGGTAAATAAATTTCAGGACTTCAAGGATGCTCATCCACCGATCAGTTTGCTTGAAGTCAAGTTGTAATGTTAACTTGCCTTTCTAGGTGATGAACTGCCAAGGAGATATGACGAATCATTTTAAAGAACGATACACGTAGACCTAAACTAAACGGGCAATTGACGAAATATTGCCGTTTTTTTCCTGTGAACAGCACAGTGAATCTGATTACATCTTTTGCCACAAAAAACATTGGTTATGCACGGAAGGAGACATTGAGATTATTCAAAAGAAATTCCGTTCAGAATGGATACTCAACCTTATTTATTGACAAACATATGAAAAACAGACCTGATGTCCCACACTAAAGCACCTGAGAAATATCTGTGCGTGAATATGAAATTGAAGGCGATACAGTTAGTCAAGTGTTTTCTACAGTACGTATACATGGAAGATATAACGCTCCGAAGTGATGTGATTAACGGTAAAACAACGACTTCTTGACACGATACTTAACTGAAACCAGAAGACAATGAGATTGAAGGTATGTTTACTTCAAGCGAAATAGTGCGACTGCAGCTGAAAGTTCAGTCGTTTATTTATACTCTTTCGAATGCTTTGACTAGGGAAAACAAAAGAGAAAACTACAAGTGTAAAAAGGACCCATGAGTGTTTGGTATCTTAAACCACGCTGGATTTAGGAAGTACATATCACGTGTGGAGCAAATTACAACGCGACGCCACGCATCATCGTAGAATAGAGTATAGAATGGCAGTCAACCCTCTACCTCAACTTCACCGACTTTGAAAAGGCCTCAACAGCGTCGACCGAGAAGTAATTAGGAAACTGCTTCAACACTACGCTTTTAGTGCCACAAACCTTTATCAACCTCATTCAACAGCTACATGAAGACGTCATATGCCAAGTGATTCACAATGGAAAGCTCAGTGACGCTTTTCAACACTAAACTCAAGTCAGTGCCTCTATATGGCTCAGAAACTTGGCACGTTACGAAAAGCATTCCCAACAAACTGCAGTCATTCATCAACAGCTGCCTAAACTGGATACTGAAGATTAGATGGCCAGAAAGAATAAGCAACAAGGAACTCACTCTGGCTGACAACGAACCAACCAACAACCCATCGCCCAACAAATGTGCAGAAGAAAGTGGAGATAGATAGGGCGTACACTGAGAAAACCATTCGAGGACATCATGCAACAGGCAAGGCCGTCGAGTGGAATCCAAAGGGGAAGTGACGAGTTGGGCTTTCGAGGGTGACATGAAGGACATCGTGTGAGGATGAAATGGAAGCTTCCAAGCGGTTGTCGAGCCAGGTTCAAAAGGCCGCAGTGAACAGAGTGCAGTGCAGACGCACTACTGAAGCCTTATGTTCCACTAGCAACTCAAGGGAAAAATAATAAATTATGATGAGATGTCACAAAATGAGTCGATTTCGCCAAACGACGAAATATAAATAGGTATTTATAAAAAGTGTAGAAAAGCTGCACCACCGACGTTTTTACACGCCTGTGACGCTTAACTCCTGCAAGCTGAAGACTCGAATCTTCCCATACTTTGACCATCGTTTCCTTCAGAAGACTGTCATCTATTGGGAAACCTAAGAAAGTAGTACTGCATTAAAGCTTAAACAGTTTGGCAATGAAATAAGTAGTTAACATTCAATGGCACTAAACTTGTATTACCTTCAGTGTGCATTGAGTGGCGGAAGTAGACAGATAATGGGGATGGGAGAAAATAACTTCTCTTTTGACCATACAGAGGTTATAAAGTCTTTGATGATCGATATGAAAGGTGATGTCAGGATCAAATCATCGAAAATACTGAAATCCTGATGCAATATAATCTTCTGGTTGAAACAAATTTCAATACTCACTTTTTTTCCGCCAACCACATCATAATGCTTATATACCACTAAACTTGCTTACCTCTGGTATAATGGTGAGGACTTTTGAAATATTTGATGAATGTTTATTAGAATATAAATTATAATAAATTACAGAAAAAGAAAAGTAATCACTCACAACTTCATTACAAAATTATCTAATTTGGAAGTTTTAGTAGTATCTGAAACAGATCGTTTTAAATTTCGAACAACACGTTTTATGCCAACGCTACTACTGCTACTGTTGCTATTTTCTGTTCTATTTTCACTAGGTCCAGATGATTTAACAGTAGTCTTATCAAATGGTTTTGGAAAGTGAAGATTACCAAAAGATTTATTAGTATAATTCGGTATTGTGTACTTATTAGCAATCTTAGAATGTTGGCGCATGATTGACATTTGATAAAAGCTAGACGGTCGTCTTTGATTGATTACACTGCTTTTACAAGTATTTTTATCAATGACATCTGTTTTAGGAGAAAATAATAAAGTACGACTGTAAGTTTGTGAAGTAGAGATGCTTTGTTTTGGCGGACTGATTGACTGCTTACGTTCAACACGAAATGGATTTCCAGGCGTTACAAAGTCCGTCTAAAATTGAAATGTTTTCACAAAAAAAACTGATGACATATAAACAGTAAATCATGTAAGATATCTTGGAATATATGCTTATTTTATAAATACTTTATAGAAATTCACCATATTTATCCCTCTTAGTGAAAAGACGTCGAGTGGAATATAGTAACTAGCATGTTAGTGCCACGTTCACCACTTACAATCAGCTCAAAAGAAACTTACTGATGTATCAATAACCAGCAGTGATAAAATGTAGAATTACTGCCAGATCATCCCTTTATGAGTGTATATTATTTTAAATGTTGACTCATAGAATAACGAGTTCGAAGATATGAGGGAAAATCAGGCAAAATGTAATTTTTTAGATACACGTAAAACCATTATTACTCTAAGTATTACAAAAAGTCGACTGGTGTTTGTCCGTGATGAATACCACTTTGAAGCAAATCTCCCCAAAAACCTTCAAACTAAATTACTCTCCAATGATCAGGGAGACCAGGGATTTCCAGAAGTTCTAATGAGCCGTGACGTGTGGGGTCAAATACTCGCTGACTGCATGGGATGATAATCGCACTACGAAGAAAGCTGATACTATTAGGAAAATGAGGAACAACGGATTTCAATTTGGTGGGTAAGTAGTAACGTCCTAATCCCGAGACTTGTCCGATTTGGGTTCGATCCTACACGGGATCGAAAGTGTGAACTGCTGCAGAGTCCAATAATAAAGCAAACTAACGGCCCACTACTCCCAGGTTTTCATTGGTTCTCCAACTAATATCAGTCCATCAAAAATAGCACTTTGGAAGCAATCCATTTCCCACAAGCTATTTATTGGAATTAATGGTGTTCTACACACTGATATTCAATTCCACTAATTGTAAAATTACTTCCAGTGTTGTAAATGGATTCAGTCTTACCTTTATTCTAATTATAAACAGTAAATTACTTCTTCCAATTCAACCTAAATATTTCATTCTATTGATTTTTATTTCTTCTCGTAATGTTTACACATAGTTGTAGTTAGCTAGGTTGTACATTTATCACTTAATCGCTTACTATTCATATCAACATCATAAGTCGATTGGCAGAAAGACTGATCTACATCTCATGCTTGTTAGCAATGATGCAACATAACTTCCTAGATAGCAGGAAACATTCATCGTCGATGAATGCCGATAAACATGAAAATTAAATGTCAGGTCTCCTACTGAACGACATTGAATGCATGTGGTAAACACAATGGATCACAGTCATCGTGTCACTCAGCTTAGTAATCGCAGTTCACGTTTGATCGATAGGCTTCCATTGGTAATTAGAATTTGATAGTGACATTCGCGTTACACTAACTTACTACTTTTACTGGATATTTTCACTGTTATTGCCAATTTTTCTGTTTATACAGAATAAGGTCAAGTGAAAAACGCTAAGTCAGATTATTACAGAATATATACAAGTCAGTTGAACCATTGTGTAGCTGAATAGTTTGACCTCTAGCTTCATGGATAATCGTCGAAGAATAAGAGGATGTATGAGATATTGTTGTACACAAAACTCACATTTCATCATTTTGACTGCAATAGCTTCAGTAGTTTGAAGGTAAACTCTTACTGCTTGTGACATTCGATTCGATATCTTGTGGATCATTGAATACGCAGACTTATTGTTTACATTGTGACCATTGTTAATTAGATGGCAGTGAATAGAATTCGTAATCTTCTTTATTTTTTCTTTCCCTAACCATACTGGAAGATGTTCTTTCATACTTTTTAAGGGAGTTGACATAGTGGTTCCCAGATAACTAACTCTACAAGAGCACTTGTACATCGACAAGAACATGATCTGAAAATGTGATGTATTTGCGTCATTCACTTTGAACCGTTTGGTCACGTATTTACTTGTTAAGGCATTTTATATGAAAACTGGAAGTAGGGGAAGGACAAATATAACATAAAGGAATTTAATAAGAAGAAAAGTAATGAAAGGAAAATGATAAGATTTGAAGACAACCTTGGTAATACGATAAGATAAGCACTACAGAGGTAGATTTAACTTAAGGAAAAACTGTTTTTAAACACATAACGAGGGTCTAAATTTGTGTTTAGCTAGCACTTCGACAAACCTAAGCATACGTCCTTGACAGTCCCAATACAAAATTGTAAAAGAAGTCTTAATATCAATGTCACAACCATCATCAATAATTCTTTGCATTGGATGATGATTGTTGTCTGCCACCTGAGCCTATCAACGTTTGTAAAATCCAACTGCTTTTTAGCCATTTTGGTACACATTTCATGTTCTATTTACGAACCATTATTTAACAAAGTGCACTCAACGGTACTCCGTCTCGTCTATTCAAGCTGCTGGAGTTAGCCATTAAAAGTAGGGCCTAGGTAGTCAGTCGTTCTTCATATGACAAAATCTTTTTGTAGAACTTTGGTTCCATTGAAATCAACCTTGTATTCCGTTTTTATCGAATGTAGTGCAATCACTGATCTATTCTTCGATCTCTGAATATCTGCTGACTTTTTTGGAGTTTACTTCAGGCAATGTCTATATTCATTGACCCCCACATTCACCTGTACGGATGTTCCCAAGCATTTTATTTCATAGACAGAAGTCTGTAGATTTTCCGTCGGCGTTACACGTTTGATCTTCATCACGGAAAAACCTAGGTTATTCGTCGTACAGAAGTAAACCTTTGTTTCATGCTTATCTAAAATCCTTCTGATTTCTTTCGATATCTCTTTGCGATATGGAATTACCACAGTGATGATCCATATCTTTGGAGGACATTTCGGAGTATTCCTTACTTCACTTTTCAGAACATTTTGTAAAAATCTTTTCTTACTTACTCTAGGTGTAGAACCGATTAACTCCAACTCATCATTTTTGTATTCTTCAACTGTCACTAGATGATTAGTTCTGTTGATGAGAATCTTAGAAACCGTCAATTTCGTGGTTAATGTATGTGCAGAATAATAATCTAGATATCTATCCGAATATATTGGCTTTCTGAATGCATTTATCTTCCCTCTGTTTTTGTTCTGCTGCCTTTCGAGCATAAAGTCTAGAAAAGCCAGTCGGTTAACATTGGATTTGATCTCTCTGAAGAATGTAATATTTTTCGACATCTTATTTATGTCAAAAAAGTCCCTCCAAGTTATCACATTTAACGATAACAAACGTATAATTTAGGTATTTCCTAGAAATTAGTTGAGATATGTAGATTTATATAAATATAACTTTTATCTAATGTCAACTTCTTACTTGGTATCCAATGTTGGTGAAACTATCTAGTAAAATCTTGAACAAGTGTCACATAAATTCTGTTTCTATTTAGATCCCTTTTGATGAAGTATGACAAGCTCTATTAGATCTCAGTCGGTAATGTAAGATAAATATTTTTTTCATAATAGTTTTGTGGCGAAACAATATTACTTTGTTTATTTAATTTCTTATGTGAAATATCAATTTAGTGTTTTCTAGAATGTGATTGTAATAAAGTGATAACTCACCTTTGAAGAAACAGCTACTGATTGCTCCAATGGACTCAATAAAAGGAAATCGGGTGTTGTTAATTCTTTATTTGCTAATTTTACTGGTGGTGTAACAAGTAAACTGTCATACAAGCCTGTAGAACATGTAGGAGACACTGTAGACGTTGATGGGTGAGAAAAGATTGATGCAGACATTCTAGAAGTTGTTTGATTCTGAGTAGTATCCAACACGAATTGATTGTTTTTCATATTCTTAGCATTACAAGTAGTGGTAGTAGCAGGAGAAGTATTGGTTGAATGAATTTGTTCAATCATTCTAGATAATTCATTCTCTAAGCCTTGAACACGTTCTTTATACTCAGCCGCATTACTTTCAGCGCGTGCTACTTTCTGTGAAGCCGAAATCTGAAGTTTACGTACACGTGATAATTCTGTTCGATAACTTCTGACTTTTTCACGGGTAGCTGTTAATTCTGACCGCAAAACAGATGCCCATTTACAGAGAGAAAATAATTCTGAGTCTTTGTGACTCCTGCTTAATGTTTCATTGGAATTCTCAAATTTCGATGTGTAACGGGAGAATAGTTCACGTGCAGCATCTTCTGACGCTGTAGAAAATAATAAAAAAAGCAATATATTACCGTTTTTATTTATATTAAGGAAGATGTTTCGTTCTCTTGTTTTATTCATTGATGACCTGCTGATCCAAGGTACGACAAACTGAACCATTATGCTATTTACCACATTCTACTTTTATAGTGTTTGAATAATTGACTATTAAAAACCTTCACCTTCCTAAATATTATTCAGAATGGTGATTTTTTCGGGTGAAGCTAAAAAATACTCATCTAGAACCAACGACTTGCAGGATAACCGTAAACATCCATGATGGTCGTCGGACGATGAGAACGAATTGAAAGGGTAGTTGTATTTTCATAAGATAGTAAGTCGCTGGTTTCACGTCACTATTATTCACCTTCGTCACTTTTAGGTCTATTGTGAAGTCGTTTCCTGGTTTGGTTGGATAAATGGCCTTTGACATATTGCATATATTAATAACTATACTTTCCATAGTTCTAACTACACCTGCTTGTTATTCAGTGTACGTTGAAGAAGTCAATCTTAAATAGTGTACACGGGTTCAGAATAGCTAAATGACCTCATTTCGTTGAAAAGCAACCTTGAAAATGCAACCAGTTGACGACAACATAGACAGACTTATATTTTCAAAAACCGAAAGCTTTCAAGTGAAATAAAAGTAAGAAATAATATAAATAGTAAAGTTAAAATCGACTACACAGCTAGATATCGAAATTGGCTTAGAAATCCACGATGGCAATGGAAAGTAGATTATCTCTTTAACTGAGTAGATTTCATCATTCAATAGTTTCATTGGAATTCTCACCATTTTGTCACTCCTCTTTCTTTTCTTTTCGTACTTTATATTTCTTTTGACTGAATTCACTTATCTTCATCCTTCGCCTCACTACCTTTTTACTTGATGTGCTGATATGAGGTGTGGCAACTCGGACCGTTACGCAGTAATGCCTGGTCCTATGTTGATAATGATGATGATGAGATACAGCAAATCCCTTGCTTTTTAACGTAGTACTTGTAAATCATGATTAAGAATAAGATACAAAAACAAAACCGTGCTATACAAAAAACTACAGCCCAATATCACTGATGCTGCCCGACTTACAACAATATTATTGGTCAGGTCGACCAACCACAGTCAGCTAATAAGCTACGTTTAGGTAGTAAACACAACTAATTAAATCCAATCTTAATGTTACGCTAGACATTTGTATGGATTAATCTAGCCATACGATTTTAGACAGTAAAGATACAGAACTCTTAGAAAACAGTATGAGATTGGCTAAAACAACGCGCTAAAACTGATAACAGCAGGAGGTATAAACTGAAGTGAAATAAAAAGGCTGATCAAACTAAAAATGATTTACAAATTGCTCGGTCAATGTTAACATTTTTCACAGTTGAGTGGTTTTCCAACTGCCTAACTGTAGTGTTAACAGAGTTTTAGCCGGAAACCATTCGCACAAGGTCATGAGGTGTAATCACTGACATGAAAGCATCAGGAACTTGAGTAGTTAGAAAGCACTCAGCCTGATCTGTAGATTTTTTCAGCCAGATCAGAGAGATGTAAACACTAAATATCCGTTTTGTTCGTTTGCAGCAAAGTTCGTTAGTGAGATACCAAGACGAATTCAGCTCACAGCGTCGAAAATTTATGCTTCCAATTGAAACTCGTAATGAATACCTTTTTATTCCTAACTGAAATAGTATGAGTAGGTGAGAAGAATTCGGTGTAGTGCGATGAAACCTTATCACAGCAGTGATGACTTGTTGACAGTATTATCCTATACACCTGCAGATGGTTATCTGAATAAGTTTTCTTTATTAAAATCACATTTCATGGAGTCATAAAGCTAAAAAACAAGTAGCACTTACAAGATATTAACTTCTTTACATTTTGCATGTCTTCAGTTTCTTTTCGAAGTTGGATAGCTTCAGCTTTCATAGTCTCAGCTTCTCGAAGAAATTGTTTGAGGCTTGATATTTCTGTTCTGGAAAATGAAGAGAATAGTTTTATGTACTGGATAATAAAGAGAAATTCTTGAACACTAAGGAAAAAAACTACTAGAATAGAAATTAAGCTACTTGAACATTACTACTGAAAATGATGTAAGTAGTTAGATACCAAATCAGATGATTTAGCAGATAGAACCGACAAAATTTAAGTGGGACAAAAAAGAAGACAACTGCATCAGTTGTTTATGACGGATTTGCCTGAGACAAACAAATCGTTCAAATAACTATAATCTGGTTAACTAACAGTACAATGAGATATTGTGAAAAAGGTATGGTTGGAATGATTCATTAACTTGATACTGTATGTTAGGAAAATATTTTGTACAACGCTTCTCCAATATAACTAGGACGATTCCTTTAAACTCGAACCAAGTGATCAACATTTAACCGAACAGGACACCAAGTTTTGAGCATCACAACCGCTGAATCATACTATCAATTTTCAGTAATTGAGTCACGGATCTAAATCCCACTTCACCCACCTACGTTCTGACAGCCAGCTACTTTAAGTCCTCACAAAATGGATGTGCTTCACTGTCCAATAAACGAACTGGCTGAACTTGGCTGTCAAGTTACAAGATATCGTTGAGAAAGTCCATATTTACTGGTGAATATTACTTGACTTCATCAGAAAGTATATTTTTTTCAATTTTGAGGTTCGTAAGGAATTGATTGACTTCAAAATGGTTTCCGTTATTGATAGACCAGCCAGAGAACCACTGAAGACCTTGGAGCACAAGACAGATGCGTTTCCCTAGTTTGGGACTCTTCAACAGTGCGCGACTTCATAAGCTGTCGGACCCAGGACCGTCAGGTCCCATGATGACCACGTAACCACTCAGTTACTGCGTCGAAATCCAATGGCCTATGTTCTCCAACTTCTGTTAACCCAAATAGCGCAAACATCGTCCAATGCCGTCGGAGAGTATTTTTCCTAACACCCGACTTAGTTGTCTGGTGAAACACAATAGTTTCTCAATACAGTTAGCTTCTGTACGATATAAGAATAACGAAAATAGGTTGGGCTGTAACAGCAATTGGTACAGATAGGAAACAATATTTTAGATAACTAATTACTGAAATAATTGGTGTGCGTCACGATTTGATTTGTGCAACCATATGGTCTGAGCAGTCCCATTGAATTGGCTAGTCTTTCATAGGACCAAACAACTGCTTCGTGGTTATATTTCCTAAGTGTCGCTCAAAACAGATTAGTCACCTGACAAACTTTTTTCGTAGTAACAAGCCATACATAGCTTTCTGATATCCTAGACCAAAGCTCGAACAACCTGATACTACCACTAACTTTTAAACTAAGAGTGTGGCTCACAGTATAAATGCACAAAAATGGTCGCTAAGTTGCACAGGTTTTCTCTTTTATACAGTGGTGCGTAGGATAATGAAACGAGAGCTAGTCGTTATCAGTTATCAGTACAAAATTATTCAGTAAATTCCATATCGTTATTTACACATCAGTTTAGTCGGCCACTTCATATGTTTGCACAATATTCCCGTAGCAAATTAAATCAGAATTACCACTTGAAACGCAATTATCCATTGAAACCAAATTAAACTAACTATTTATCTTAAAAATGGTGTTATTAAGGAATATCGGTATGAAAGCAGAAATGAACAATGGGAGAGGAAAAGATAGTAATTGTAAGCATAAAATGATATTTATCGAGTTACAGTTGAAAACCAAAAGATACTTAAGAACGGTTTGCTCTTACTTTGGGACTCGGAAAAAGTCAAAAAAGGGGAATCCAAGGTTCATTATAGTTTGCACGACTCAACAGCCATGTACAGGCTTCTTCCCACGGCAATGACCAGCACCAATTGTGTAGTGGTTGATTATATCACCGAACTGCTCAAAATACTGTAGGTGGAGCAGTATTCGAACCCGTGACCGAAAGGTTGAAAAATTGGGATCTGTTGCTTGGTTGGTCAGTCAGTAGTCCGTGTTAACTGCCCTCTAACTTCATCAGCACTTGTCTGTGTTGACACTTCCGACTTAGCTGATTCAAAGGGTCAAGAGACTTGAACCTAACTGTTTCATAAGATATGTTTGTATGAAATGATATACTGGGGTTTTCAATGGTCTTTAAACTAATAATTTAGAAATTAGTTTGGAGATATTTTTGACAAAATGACTGAGAGTGGTCACAAAATAAACAGAGAGGTATTGATACTACGTGTGTCATGACGAGTATAAAAAATTGATTAGAATTTATGGATCTCTTACTGATAAGTCCAGTTATCTTTCGCTGACCGTTCACTGTAAGTTATATGCTCCATAGTCATGTTATCTCAGTCACACCTCTTGTAAAAGGATAAGTCACCAATATCAAGTTGTAAGAATAAAATATCAATTTGGCAACTCATTAACCTGGTTTCCGATAATAACGGTGCGAAGTTGCAAACTATGAAAACCATTTAACCCTTTTTTTCTAAACGTTTAGCTGTCCTCGAGATGATATTACAGTTCACGTAAAGATATCTACAAACTAATCCAGCCTCTGGTGGAAACTTAGAAATCGTACTGCATTCAGAAACCACATACACTCCCGTGCAGTAGGCAGTGATTCACACCTATTGTGTGAGGGTTAGTTGCCTAGATTTCAGTAGGTGGAGTGGGCATCGCACGTGTGATACACTGGTTGGAAGTCAAGTGGTATAGACCAATGAGCCATATCTCCACTCCGATGCAATCGTCCTTCCTTGGTTCAGATATAACACATTTATTCAATGAGTTGCAATTTCTTTCTACATGTGTGCGGATACAGAAAATCACTAGCCTCAATACAATACGCATGACTTATAGGCAAGTATACGTGACCCACAACAAACAAGTTTATAAACAATTTTATCGAATCAAACAAAAAATCAAATTGCATGAGGAACACACCTCAAATCTCGACAACGTTGTCTTTCCTTTTCATATAACTTATCTGTTTCACTATACAAAGTAGACAGTGTTGATATTTCTTTGTCTCGTGCACTTATCAGTTTGGTATTTTCTTCTGACTTTTGTGACAGATTTTTGCATAATAAATCTAAACGCATATTTTCTGAACGTAATCGATGCAGTTGAACACTAAGCGATTTTACAGAGTTGTTATCACTTGACTGCTGAAAAGAGTGAAGAAATGAAAGGAGCGAATAGAAGTCAACATAGCAGGAGAGCGCAACATAATTACACAGTGATTAACTCAAATTACTTTAACTAAATAACTATGCGCGGCTTCATATATTTGGTTGAGATGCACCTGTGTACCGAAACCTGGAGATGCGATGCGGGATATAAGCTAATGAACCACTACCAAACCAATGAACAGCCACTGGAAAACACTCTGAAGTCAAGTTTCATTTTTATTATCAGCTATTAACAATGTGTATCAGCATAACCTTAAGAAAATATTGTTTCACAAGAGAACTACATATACAGTAATTAGCATCACTGTGATTAATTTGGTTATGAAGTTCAATCAATATAAACATAGGACTAGGCATTACTGCGTAACGGTCCGAGTTGCCACACCTCATATCACTCATCAAGTAAAAAGGCAGTGAGGTGAAAGATGAAGATAAGAAAGTCAAAAGAAATATAAAGTACGCGAAGAAAGAAAGGACAAAATGACAAAATGGTGAGAGTTGGTATAGTGTTAAAATGGAGATAATGTGTGTATACATCTGCGACACTAACATCGGTTCTGAGCCATATCACCTAGGGTCTCCAACCACTGGTTCCTCTTGTCCCACCGACCCCAACCACCTAGTCTGCATCGTCCTACATGGCTTAAACCAACAGTCAGAGACTTCATACATTGGTGCCATGTTTTAGTCTGGCCACCTCGGGCCTTTTTACAGCCTGGACCCACCTCAGCCAACATTGTGTGACGAGGCAATCAGTGACTAGGCATACGTAGTACGTGTCCCAACCATCTCAGTCGATGAAGGTCCATAACCTCATCAACTGATTTACCTCGTCTCCCTAAAACTCTACACATGACTTCCGCGTTACTCATGTGGTGACACTACGGAATACGGCCTATACTACGAAGGCAATGATGGTCAAACACTTGAAGCCAGCCTTCTTATGTCTTCCACCTTCAATGGCCATGTTTCACAGCTATACAGTAAAACAGACCTGACTGCTGTGCAGTACACGCAACCCTCAATAGACAATCGGATATCACGGGAGCACCGCAGGTGGCGTAAGTTAGCAAAAGCCAGCCGAGCCTTTTGTATTCATGCAGAGATTTCATCGGCCACTGATCCACCAGGACTGATCCTACTCCCCAGGTAAGTGAAGTGGTCAACACACTCAGTCACTACACTGTCTGTCGTTAGTCGCAGTCGGGCACCATTGAAGACCAATCCTGGAGCAACAATTTGCACTTGGGTGGTGAGAAACACATCCCAAATATTCTCAAATTGACACTCAAAGTGTTTAGAGGATTCTGAATCTTGTCAGCGTCTTCACCTAACAGAACTATATCATCTGCATATTCTAGGTCTAATGGAAATTCTCCTGTGATTGGATCAACATCCGTGTAATCAGATGATGAGAGGGAGACCTCCATAAGAATATCTATGACAAAATTGAATAAGAATGGAGACAGTGGGCACCCTTGACGGACAACACTCGATGAGTACAGCTCACCTGACATCTCACTATGGACTCTAACACGCCCACAAGTGTTCGAGTAGAGAGCCTTCAATAAGGTGATGTACTTACTCGGCACGCCTTTCAGTGAGAAACATTGCCATAAGACTTCTCGATCAACGGAGTCAAATGCCGCCTTCAGGTCGAGAAATACAGAGAGTGTTAGGCGTCTGTAAGCGTGTCTATGTTCCACTACCTGGTGCAGTGTGAATATTTGGTCGATACACCCGTGACCGGGTCTAAAGCCTGCTTGGTTTTCTCGGGCTTACTGTTCCTGAGCTCCACTCAGACGTCGAAAAATTATAGAACCTGGGATCTTGGACACTATGTTCGTCAGGCTGATTCCTCTGTGGTTATCACAAGAGGACTTCTCACCTTTCTTGAAGACTGGAATAATCAGTGATTTAGACCAGTCGGAGGGGATCGTATTTGATTCCTATATACTGGTCAACACTTCCGTTAACCTGACTAAGAGCACTCCACCACCATTCTTGTATACCTCAGCAGGTAGTCCGTCTGGTCCTGCCACCCTTCCTCGTTTCAGGTTACCTACAGCTTTCTCGACTTCTTCTAGTGTTGGTGGGCCTGTGTCAATGTTCCATTCAGGATCCGACTGGATAGCAGGCAACGTAATGGTGGTTGGAGGCCAGTTAAACTGTTCCTCGAAGTGTTCTACCTATCGTTCCAGTCGTCTCCCTCGTGAGTGAATTGCAGATCCGTTCTTCTCCGCTGTAGGCTCACTATCTGCTATCACCTTTTCCCCAGTTTCCTAAATAAGCCTAAATAACTGCCTACTGTTACTAATCGCCACTGCCTTTTCCATCTCTTTAGCCTTCGCTGCCCAACACTGTTCGCGGTCATTGCGTAAACTTTTTTCTCAATCTACTTTTTAGTTACACTCGCTCTTTATTGTACTTAGAGTCTGCAGGGATACGTTCACGTGCATCCATTAGTTCGGAAGCTGCTGATATTCACAGGCTTTTTTTAGCCACTCTTTCGGTGTCGGCTATGGTCTTAGCACTAAGTTTCTTCTGGATGAGTGATGGTGTTCTGTTCTGATAACTGCCTAGCCAACTCACTGAAAGCTGGTTTGTGTTTTCGTTGTCCTGCAGCACTCGTAGTGATTTTGTTGCCAAATTCTTCCTACGTCCATTGAGACTCAGGCATATACGCGCTCAGACCAACGCGTGATCGCTATCCAAACATTTACTCCAGAAGGAGCGGCAGTCTTCCACTGATCCTCTCCAGCGATCACTAATACCTATGTGGTCTATCTGTGTCCACTGCTGAGTTGAGCTCGTTGGACGCCACGTCAGACAGTGTCTTTCTTCATGTCTGAAATTTGTGCTAGCTACAAACAGGCGGTTATCTAAGCATATTTATAGTAGGCGATCACCGTTATCTGTACGTTTAGCCGTGACTCCGAAAGTGCCACCTAAGTGCCTTTCTGCTTCATTCGGTCTACCCACCTGTGCGTTGAAGTCACCTGCAACAACCACCACGTCTGAACGTTTGGCTTTCGAGAGGAGGTTAGACAGTTTTTGGTAGAACTCGTCCTTCACTTCATCCGAACTGCAGTCAGTGGGTGTGTAAGCAGAGATTACAAAGAGACAACGGCGAGTCTCACTATTCCTTTTAGTTCTCACTGTGCCGTTCAGTCTCATAGCGCAGAGGCGACTATCAACTGGGATCCAGTCTAGTAGTGAGTTTTCTGCCCTGGTGCTTAATGCTATACCTACACCTGCAAGACCACGAGAGCTAGCTATCGAATCTCCAGAAACTCGAAAGGTGAATTTCGTGGATTCACCAGATTGGTCAGGAGAGGTCAGGTGAATAACCGCACTTGGGTCCTGTATGCGTGTCTCACAAACACAGCACACATCCATGACCTGAGTTGCTAGAGTCTTTGCCAACGAAGCCTGTTGACCAATTTGACGGAGGGTGCGGACATTGAAGGCTCCAATATGTAATTTGGAGCGTGGTTTAAGGAGACCAGGGATGCTGTTCTGTGGACTCAGATCGTTGTCGAAGGCTGCAGAGGTAGGAGAAATTGAAGATGATGCAGCATCATTAATTGAGAGACGGGAAGGAAGATTAAGTAATGATGGGGAGGTGGATAGCAGTCTGAGGAAACTTGAGTGCTGATCGAGTTGTGAGGGCGGTCGACACTTCTGGGCTGCACACACCGTGGAAGGCTATTTCTTCTTAAGGTACCTGAGAGAGATCTGTGTGACCGCAGAGCCCATCGGACATCTGCTTGAGGCCTGCCACACGTAGCCTTTTGTGTATGGTTATTTTGAACTTTTGTATTTTTGGGGCCGGACGGTCGAAAAGAAACAATAAATGAACCAACATCGCCGGCCCGGCAAACCATGGGGTATAGTGGAGTGTGTTATTTTTGGGGCCGACCTTTTCTAACCCCCCCTTCCACTGAGAAGGCAGCATCAGCATGGCACTGCTGGTTATCTAAGGGAAACACCTTACTGCTGTTACACCCCATCCAGCTAGCGGCAGCACGACTCCGCCCTCAGATCCCCATTATAGTGTAGTAATTTACACCACAACGGTAACTGCTTTTCGTCTAACCACTATCCAACATACCTTTCTGGTATGGTAGGACCTCGAGGGAACAAGTGTTCCACCAGCATAGCTCCTTGGGTCATTGTGATATGCAAGCCCGACCACCACGTCAAGGTAGCTATCGGTCGAGTGGTTATGAAGTTAGTGTTGAACTGACCGGATGAAAACAATGAATTGCTTTAGTTCTGTGTGCTAATTAAAAGTCTAAATATCACTTGGTATTCTGGTCTTAAACTGAATTAGTCCTAGCTAAAATATCACAGTGATAACGTTTTCAGTTGCTCCGTTGAAAGATAGTTCAAGCTTTTGAAGGAGCATGAATTTTCTAAAGATTGCTGATACATCCCCGTTCTATGTACTAAAACTTTCTAACAACTGGTTTTAAATGTTAAGTGTAGTGCACAGCAGTATTGTATAACATCTTATCACAAAACTATGACCTGTGAATCATAAATCAGCTCTCATGACAACTATCAGATTGAACGATCGGGTAACTCAACTTGCTATATTTTTATGTACTAGGCTATCAGTCACATTTATTGTGTGAAGTTATGTAATACTTACTACCTGGCTGTTCAGGTCGAAGCAGGTGGAGTCAGATCTGAATCCAAGATAAATTGGTTGGAAGTTGAATCCTTAAGTCAGTGAGCTACATTTCTACAGTTACCAACTGATGACCAGTTTATTCAGTGCTTGCAAATAACTCAACACAATCAGGTTTGTGTGCACAGTTGTAAGTCATACTTACTAGAAAAGATGTAAAGTTAATGAGCACAGCAAATGTAAACCCATAGAGTAAATGATATTTATTATTTTAGAATTGTTATTTTCATTCATTGAGAGATGAAAGTACCAAAATAAGGAAGCTACATGTGGTTTGTGTGAAAATGTGTAGCACCCGGACGAAACAAATCTATAACTAGTGGAATAGGAAAAAAGTGATCTCGTGAATATTTCGTATTCATTACAATTTCATACACTCTCAGCTATTTTGTATCACAACCAACCTTGAAGAAATTCGTTGTGTTTATCAAATATCGGTGACAATAAAGACTTTCGATAAATAGACAGCTATTCATCTAGAACCAGATGAAGTGAGTTGAATAGCCTACAAAATAATAAACCACAGAAACCTGTACAAGTTTTCCTGTTATAAAATAGTTTGTTCATGACCAGTCTGCATATATGCTTAATTCGACAATAGACAGTAAAGTGGTTTATTATACTTACTTCATATATATGACAAGTTGCATCAGTATGCGTGGGTTGATAGATGAACAAATGTTTGCGCTTGTCTGCAATTTTGATGATTTACATAGCCCAAAGTCTTAGAGAAATATCTGGATAGAATAGCTATTAACACAGTAGTGCTTTCTACCAATTATAAGACTGTTAAATGAGTTTACTAGTAACTGAAAAAGAGCGGTTTTACAGACGTCACCGTTATCTTTGAATTGTTTTTGTAATATGGTAAAATTAAAGAGGCTAATCGAATAGCAATAGGTAACAAAAGACAAATAAGTAGATGAAGCTGCGAATCACACAGATGGAACAACGTATAATCCCGCACAGGTTTATTAATTTAAACTGCTACGCCTCTTAAAAGTACAAAAATAAATAGAAAACAAATGAAAATAAAAGATGGTATCTAAAATACCCATAAGAGGAAACTTCTCTACACAGTTCAGACCAAAAGTCAGTGGTTTCATAGATAACGGCTATGTTTTGGACTAACTGCCCAATCTTTGGCCAACCCAATCCTATTCATACCCCTAGGAAGTCGATGATTTAGTACACATGAAAACCTGCAGTTACATCACTCAAAAAACATCATTAGGGACACAGATCCTACTCTTGGTGTATCAGCACTGTCAACAATAAATGCAGTGCGATAATCTGAAGTGAGTAGTCTAAATTTGATACTATGCAGTGATCATGTACACGGGTAAAGCTAATGAAAGGTGTGAGAAGAAAGAAGTGCAAAATCTCATCATATTTACACAGTAACTGGGAAATTATATGCGTTAACAAATTTGATTTTTCGTTGTTGTCATATCACCTATTTTGTCCATCTCTCCAACTGGTGACTAGTTGAATGTCTGTTGCTTAAGCAGAATCAAGAACTCAAAAATCTTCGAAAAAACCCTGAATAATGATGTTTTGACAGTATATATGGTAGGCTTAAAGTCGACGAAAAGAAGTGAACACTTGATGATCAAGTAAACTCACCGGAACTTCTATGTTTGTATCTGTCTCTTCAGACGTTGTATCGATGACAGGATGTTCATCTGGACCGTAACTGACCATATCAAAATATAATCTAGAAATCACGAATGTCCTCCTTATGCCTATTCTGCACTGTGGACATGTAGATGATGTTTTGAACCAAGTATCAATACATATCTGATGAAATACATGACCACATGGTAATGCTGATATATGACATTGGAGTGCATTTGTAAAACACTCTTGGCAAACTGGGCACTGAGCTAATAGCATAATTCTAAAATTTCAAAAGTTCTAAAAGTTTAACATCTAGGAAAATAATAAGCAAGCAGTGAATAATGATAATGCAACTGAGGAATCTTTTAACAATTTCTGCACATTTACAAACCATACTTTATGTATAGTGTCCCAGGTTACAATGCATTCTAATCGATAACCGAGTTGTAGCCAATCTAATACTTAAACTAATCAGTGACAAAATGGTGTTGACACTCACGGGTTGCTGTAAAACGGGAATATCATTTCGGTAGTTATTGAGTAAGGAAACAATAAGTAGTTATGTACATCTGAGCTTTGTTTCATGCCGCAGAAACCAAACATAAAGTTTAGTAAATTAAGGTAACAAACAATGTAGCTATTTTTCTATTCAAACAATCAGTAGGAAAAGTAGATTACTGAGTGGCTTTAATAAAACATTTTAATGATGCAAAGCATTTCCACTAAAAAAGGTTGACGGAGATGGGTTAGCTATCTCAAATAGAAAAAATAATTACGGAATTATGTTGCAGAATTATTTGAATGAGAAGTTAACTCTGTGGAACATGAAATGCACTCAACCAACCACTTACACTTTTGTGAAGTAGGCACTGAGCCACACATTGTGTTGGACTCATGATACTACCTAGCTACCCAAACCTCAGTAGGTGGAGTGGGGTTTGAACGGTTGATTCACTGATTGAAGGTTAACTACCCAAACCAATGACCCACAGCTTTATGTACAACATGGGGATGTTGTGCATGGACATCAATGAATGCACCACACAACTGAATTTTAAAAAAAACTATGAGGAAAAACGTGGGAAGGAGTAAGAAAAGAAAACCTGAGAAAACAGTCACTTCCTTAAAACATTTAGTAAAGCTTTTATTACATTTATTGCCTTTGACAAATAGAGAACACACGAAAAATACATGATCACCACTGGTTTCGATTCTGAGTCATACCTGATATCATCTCAAACTGGGTCAAATGACTTCTCGAAGCCAAAGCGAGAAATCTTGATAAATCAACAGGTCCTAACACCACTTATATTCTTGTGATCCCAATGCTCCACATTATGCACTAATCACCTCTCCGCTTCTTCCAACCAGTCCTGGGGTTGAAAAACCGTGATCGGTATGGAAGTCAACGGGACGATATTCATAAAAGATATCCAAGCCGCAGAAACCAGTGCTTGAAGAATGACACCAAACAACAAATGATGACCATCGTCAAATTCCACCACCACCGCGCCTCAACTAACGTACATGATTCCACCGGATGTGAGTAATCCTTAGTATAACCGTGATTTAAAACCCAGGGTTGTCAGACATCTTCAGCTTTGAGTAGCCTGTGTTATCACACAGTGAGAAGAGATCGTTCGCACACTCGGGTCAAAATACTTTTTCCTAGAAGACCTACACCTCGGACACATGCCTTTCATATATTCTGACGTCTGAGTCCTAATATTTATTAATTCATAAGTACAATTCATGGAATCTCCAAATAATATGCCCGTTAACCAATATTTTGACTGAAAACATATTAGCAGCTCACTCTAATCGCATGTTTATGAAGATTACCCATTGAAGAGTATATCATACATCTGAATGAAACGTAATTTAATTTCTTTTCCATAAATGGAGTGTCGAAGTAGTAAGTACGACTTGATCCTTACTTGTGCTGACTAGCACCAATACCAGATTGTAGGCTTAGGAAATCTACGAACTTTCGCAAATTGTCAGGTTGCTTGCGGAAGCTTAGAAATTTTCCAATAGACAACTGCCGAAACTTGAAAAATGCATTACCGTCAAAACATTTGTTTGTGATTCACTAACATCGCTGGAGGTTAAATGACTGGACATCATAGTAGGCTGAGAACACATGGTTGCAGAAGGTTGCCTAGAAAATAAAACGATATTTGGAAGTAGAAACTATGCTATAAGAAGTTATATCATCTGCCACAACTGTTGACAACACATTTATCATTGTCAGACACTTTTTGACGTATGTACATGATGAAGTCAATTCCCTTAGAAATCAACCCCACATGATGTACCTAAAAAGTCTTCATTTATTTTTGCATAGCTCATCGGGTTCATCAAGCGAACTTTGTGCATTTGTATATATGTGGTTGAAACTGTAATCTGAAAGTAGTTACCGAAATTTCAATATCATCCAGTTTGTTGAGTGGATTATTAAATATGACTGACTGACAAAATCAACGTAGAATCTTACACACAGGTCCATCGCCTCAAGTTTCCATGCTTCACAGTATTTCACAAAGAATAGGTGGATAGAAAAGGAGTGATATCAAAGTAGAAAAATCTGTGTGAGAGAATAAACAATCTGAAGATAAAGGTTAGTGCGAATATTCAAGCTCTAGGAGGTATGTCAAGGAGTGAATACATTTGCGCCATTGTGACCGACTTTCAGCCATGTCACTCATTATCCTAAACCACTGATTTCCTTCCTCTCGAGGACTTCAACCATGCACTCTACATCTCCATACATGACTCAGACTAACAGTCAGGGACTTCATCAACCGGTAACACATCTTGGTTTAGCCACCATGAACCCTATTCCAAAATAATTCAACTTCCCCTAGCATGACACGTCAAGGTAGGCGGTGGCTCGGCATGTGCAGTTCATTTCCCAGCCATCTCGGTCGACTGAGGTTCACAACCTTGTGAATCGACTTGTCCGTCTTGCCTAGTATCCTTCATCTAACCTCAACAGTGCTCACATCCTGATTCCACCAAATAAGAGCAATGCTACGAAGACATCTGTGATCAAAACCCTGTAGTTGCTTCATGTTTCCTACTTTTAATGGTCATGTCTTACAGACATAACAGACTAGAGCACAGCCTACTCGTCCTTTGATAAATAGCCTAATTTCTTGCTGATGCCAGAGGAGAGGTAAGTTGGCAGGTGCCAAAAGGTCCTTCTGTATCCATGTTGAAACTCCGTCAGCAACTAGCTCGTTTGGCTGACTGACGCAACTCCCTGAGTAAGTGAAGTAGTCGGCCTATTCCATCACTTAACTCATCATCATACTGAAAGTACTTGCAGTAGACCAGTACTGGATTACCATATTTCATTTGACGGTTACCAGTGGAACTCAAGCCAAGCACACTTAGATTTCTGCTCAACACGTTCAGAAGACCTTGCATTTTATCAGCGTCGTCACCTAGCATCATCAATATCAACATAGTACCAGGCATTACTGCGTAAAGGTTGGAGTTGCCACAGCTCATATCAGGACAATGTTTTCTGCATATTCCAGGTCAACTAGATGACCCCCAGGGAGGTCAATTCCTGTGAAGTCAGACGTACATGGAGTTATATAAATTAGTACGTCTATGACGAGAACCTGCCTGTGTGATTTACTGATGAGTTGTTCACCTAATCACTGTTTCTGCCTCTGAGCAGTCAACCAAGACGACAAATAGCTCATTTCTTCTGTTTCCGTTTTAGCCTTTCTTCTTGTGACCTATCAGCAGCATCAAAACTCCAGGTGGCAGACAGTCTGCTGACCCAAACTACCTCCAGTTTAGATACTGTCACGTAGGTGGAAATACCACTGATCAATCGTCCTTCTTAGGCATCCATGAGACTTTTTGGGTTACTACATTCAAAAGATTCATCTTCTCTTTTAAGGATTTCCTTTCACTGCAATTGTTTTGAATGTTATAGGAACCTTAATTTCTAGATGTTTCCTTAACTATCAGATTCTCGCTCCCAAAGTAAGCTTCACAAGTGTAAACTGGATTTATTAGCGTCCACTTGGAGTATTGGATAACCAGTAATCTAAAATCCCCTTCGGTTTTCAGCACGTGAGATAGCAATACATTTTCAGTGCCATCTGACTTGAAAAATATTAGCCTTCGAACTCAAGGGTTTCCTTTTATTCTGGGCCCCAACCACCTGAAGGCCTGGTTACTATCATGAGTCCAATGTGGTTTAGAATTGTTTCGCCGCAACTATCTTTTTAAAGAACCCTGTCGTTCTTATGTTTAAAGTTGTATAAGAGATCAGGATTGTTCGTCAGGTTTATGACGGTCCCCGAGTCATCTCGAACCGTGGTGTGCCTTCCTACCTTCTGATGAACTATGTTTGGTCTTTGGTTTTCTATCCATTTTGGAAACGGCTGGAAATTACCCACAGGCTTGTCAAACGAGTGAGTTACTTGCGTGGTTCATAATCTATTCGACTTTTCCTAAATCCTAGTCTTGACCTCCTTTGTTTCTAATTTATTATATTTGGATAGAAGTGGAGCATTCACGGGGCTCTGCGCCTTTACAGATCCTGTGGTCCTGGTTAAGGTTAAAACCCAATTGCTTTTATTGCGAATGAGGGTTATCTATGCTCCGTCTTCTATGTTACTACCAGCTATAACTGTTGTATTCACTGTCGCATGACCTGATGTTGCTGAAGGACTACAGAAACGTGCACCCTACTGAACGGCTGAGATGCACTGTCTTCTGTCAAACTAGTTCCTTTTTCTTGTCGAATGACTATCAATTCCTCCGTTTGCCGACTTCCGTACTTACAATTCTTTGTTGCTAGGTACTGTTTTCGATCTCAGACTTCCATTATCATTCTTGTGGTCGGCTTTCAGTCCTTTCCTGATTTTCGTTTACATTCTGATGACATCCCCAAGGACATCTTTCACTTCCGATCTACATATGGCAATGTCACTTGCACCCAGGTTTGCTAAGTTTAGCATGACCAGCTTTAGTAATACGCGCAAGTTCCATAAAACCAACTGTTTTGGGTATCACATTGCACGTCTACCCAAAGAGGTTGGTGAGAGCTGTCTTGTGGAGCTGCAGCTTATTAGTCTAGGCACCTGGTTTCCAACCAGTAGGCCGACAGTTCGAACCTTACACCACCTACTGAGGCTTGGAAAGCTAGGCAGTATCATTAGCCCTGACACAATAGGTGTCTCATCGCCTTCTGCAAGTTTATGCGCGTGGTTGATCAGTTCATTTTAATTTTCTCGATTTCGACGTCTTACA